TTAAATGAAGTTACCAAATTTGATGGATACTACTTGCCAAATAAGGACACCCTTATTAAACAAGTACAGAACAAAAAGATATTTTCAAAATTTGATTGTAAGTCAGGATTTTGACAAATCATGCTAACAGAAGAAAGTAAACCATTAACTGCATTTAGTACCCCCAATCCTTTAGGACAATATGAATGGAATGTAATGCCATTTGGGTTGAAAAATGCACCGCAAATATTTCAAAGAAGAATGGATGAGGTAATTAAACCAATTACTCATTTTTGTATAGCATATGTAGATGATTTACTTATTCATTCAAATTCTTGAGAAATTTCGTTATATTATAAAAAAACATGGTATTACACTCTCTCAAAAGAAAGTTGAGATAGTTAAAACAGAAATAGAATTTTTAGAATTATTTATAAAAGAAGGAGAATTGCAATTGCAATCTCATATTAGAGAAAAACTTCAAAAATTTCCTGAAAAAATCAAAGATAAAAAACAATTACAAAGCTTCCTTGGAATATTGAATTATGTTGAAGGATTCATTGAAAATTGTGCCAAACTAAAAAATTATTTTCTTCCAAAGTTAAGAAAAATATAATGTGGTCTTGGGAAAAACAAGATTGTGAAAATATAAGGAAGGTAAAGAAGAATTAAATGTATTACCCAAACTTATAATTCCACAAGAAGAAGATTTCTTTATCCTTGAAACTGATGCGTCGAATAATTATTGGGGAGCACTATTAAAGGTTAAAAAGAATCATAAAGAATATAAATATGAAAAGAATTGTTCTTGTTCTGAGATACTTGCAGGTTATATATCAGGAACATTCAAAGAAGTTGAAACAAGATATGAGACGAACAGGAAAGAACTCATTGCTATAAAAAGGGGAGTTCAAAAATATGAAGATTATTTATTACCAATAAAGTTCTTGATTAGAACTGATAATACTCAAATTAAAGCCTTTTTGAAAAATAATGTTGATCCATCTATTGCCAATAGATATATTATCAGGATACAAATTTAATTTTCATACTTCAAATTTGATATTGAATACATAAAAGGTAAAACTAACTTTCTCCTTGATTATCTCAGCGGGGATGGAGCTAGAGCAACTAAGGACGAAAGTTCAAATACTTGAAATAAAAGTTTCCTATTTGGAAACACAAATTCAAAATATCCAAGATAGCCTTCAAGGCAAAAATACAGCCCTTGAGGTAGAAGTAACTTGTACCAAGTCTAGTATCTCTTCACAGGGACCAATAAATACTAGCGCTCTCCCCGAGAATAAAGGGAAAGAGAAGAAAGTAATAGGAACCCCTTCACAAGGAATATTTATGCCTATTACTGGTAAAGAAGATATCAAAATTTCCACTAGGGAAGATATTCAAAATATCAAAAGCGAAGGTAGCTCTTCACATAGCCAAACTAAATCTAAACTTTATATTGAAAGAATAGATCCAAAAGACATTGTCAAAATATGCCATGAGGCAAAATTTTCCAGAAAAGATAACCATGAAGAAGTCATATTCTTTATTGTTATTTTTAATATTTTATCAGATTGATATCTGAAAATAGGAAAGTGGATGAAAACTCTCCACTATGCAAAATACAACAAGATAAACTTCTATTCAAGAGCACCAGCAAAAACTGGGTAAGAAACTATTTTGAGATAGGAAATATACTATGTATATATCCTAACAAAGATCTTAAAGAAATAGCCCAACTTCCAGTCAACGTCAGGAAAGCTGTAAAAAGATATACTGAAATTGTCAAGACAACAAACATATACATCAGATTTCATTCAACAACTATGGAATGGGATCCCGTTCTTGAACATATCCATTCATCATTTCATGTTATTAAAATGGGACTTACAAACCAACATTTTTTACCAACCAATCAAAATGTTGTTAAAAATGGATACCAAGATATTATAAATATGATGCCCTACAAAAGAGCAAAAGGGTACAAAGAAATATTCGAACATATAACTCAGTTAATTACTGAGACAGAAAAAATATGGATTTATCCATCTGAAGACCATATAATCTACTCAAATGCAAGGATGGCTACAAAGGGAGAAGACATATGTTATCTTGACCAATTATTATTCGCAATCATCTCAAACCAAGTACATGGATCAGAAAATATGGTGAAAGAACTGTGCAAACTACTCTGAAATTACAGTGACCACCATTGTGAATACTGCGTAGTGGAAGATATGAGGCAAGCATCTCTCAACAGTAAAGAATTTCCTGCAGAATTCTTTGATTCGAAGATGGAAAAATGATAGTGACAAAAGTAGCCACTTATCACTACTTTAATAAAGAAATTTATTAAAGAAAAATTGTAGCTAATAAAAGACAGAAGATAGTACAAGAAAGTCTTCATAATTGTGACTACTTACCTACTGGTTGTCATAAGTGAAAGACAAATTCAAAGATAAGGTAGATAATTTCTAAAAGAGAGATCCACCTAACAAGAAAATAATGGAGAAATCAGTGGAGATAAGATTACTGAGCTACCCAACAAAAGGAAGGGGGAGACACCTGTCAAGAAAGGACTCTCAAAGTCTTCTATAAAAGGAGGCAAGAAGAAAGAAAGAAGTAGCTCGAAACAACTTATCTCTAAAAGATTTGAAAAAACACTCTGAAAAATCACATCTCAAAGAAATATCTTTTGTAATCTGTATACACCACTTGTATTCAGAAAATTTTTTAGATAATCAGAAGGGAGCAAAACTTGTAATAAGGTAATCACTTATGGAGTTCTAAACTTCATAAGGTGAGTACCAAATGTATGTGAATATAGATTGTAAGCATGTACTATTTCAGTTTATGAATATTAAAATAAAGTTTGTCATGTTCAACAAAACTTTCATAAAAGGATGTCGTTAAATTTCTTATTATTCCTCGGCAGTGCAGATAGAGATTTTAAAAGATTTTCAAAACATTGATTTTGAATGGATGTTAGCCATGCCAAAGTACCCGTCTGTGATGAATGGTTTAGGGGAAAAATGCAGTTTTCTAATAAAATCGTAGCACCTTGTGTGTGAGTTATCTTTTAAAATTTCATTCCAAGTAAAAACTTGATTCTGAAAAGAGTT